CTCTTCTTCTAAGTGTCTCCTTTCAAGTCTCCGCCTCCATAAAGAAAGAGATGATGAAGCAGCAGCATCTGCTGCTGCAGCCTCCTTCTCATTATCAGCAGCAGACGCAAACAACCACGAGAAATGGGCTGCAGATAAACCTTCTCCTGCTGCTGCTGCTGCTGCTGCTGCTGCTGCTGCTGCAGGTGGTGATGGTGATAGCTGAGGTACAGGAGGAGGAGGGGGGCACAGCAGCGGCAAAGAAGCAAAATCTGTCTCTTCGCTCCCCCCGCTGCTGCTGGTGTTGCTGCTGTTGCTGCTGCTGCTGCTGCTGCGTTTAAGGAGGCTGATGTTATGCTGCATAATCTCTTCAATCATTTGAGCCTGCCTCGTCATATGAAAAGCAGTTAATGCAGCACCTGCTGCTTCCAACTGGTATGCATACACCTCAATATCCGCAGCACTTATTTCTTCATACACCCCACACCCGCATGCATGCACAGACCCACACCCTTGGGGGCCCCCCTTTCCTCCTTCTGCCTGGCCAGTGGGGCCCCCTGGGGGCCCCTGTGGGGCCCCCTTCCCGCCTTCTGCCAGGTCAGAGGGGCCCCCTGGGGGCCCCTGGGGGGCCCCATCGCACCCTCCTGTCAGTCCAGAGGGGGCCCCTGGGGGCCCTTGGGGGCCTCCCTGCCAACCTCCCTCCAGAGTTGGGGGGCCCCCCCGGGGCCCCTGGGGGCCCCCCTGCAAGCCTTCTGTCAGGCCTGGGGGCCCCCCCGGGGGCCCCTGATCCTCAGAGGCCCCTAAAGAGCACCCTAAATTACCCCCCTCTTTGTTTGCTGCGCTTAGGGGGCCCATAGGCGAGCGGCCTGCAGCATAGACAGCAGAGAGAGGGAGGCAGCAGCAAAGACAGAGGAGGAGAGCTGAGACAGCATTATTTATAAAAAGAACAATAAAAAAGAAGTTAATGTTTTGAGGTTTTGTTTGAATTAAGAGATTGTGCACAAACATCAACATCAGGAAGGGGCCCCCGGGGGCCCCTGCAGTTAAAGCAGGTTTCGCCTACAGCATAAACATCATCTGTCTCTGTTTTTCTCAGGTGTCTCTGCATCTGAGGTGTATATACACCCCAAACAAACAGATATATTAACAAGATTTATATATTTTATATTATTTCTTTACGCACAAAGGAATGCCCGCAGCAACAGCAACACAAAAGGGTTTAGGGGGGCCCCCCTGGGGGCCCCTGTCTCCTTTCGCTCGTCTTAATGGGTTTATTGTTTATTTAAGAGAGTTTGTTGTTTAATTAAAAGGGTTTATTGTTTAATTAAAAGGGTTTGTTGCTTGTTATATAAAAGAGTCCATTCCTTATTATTATTAATTATTATTATTGCTAATAATAATAATAATAATAATAATAATTATAATTATTATTATTATTATTATGCACAGGCTGCATGCACACAGTTGCAGTTTCGGCGTCCCCTCTTTGTGGGCCCCACAGCCCTGGGAGTTGAAGAGAGACAGAGAGACTAATTCTGCTGTCTCCTCTCACAGCCTCAGCACTTCTTTTTAACAGCAATTAGACCTCTTACCCCCTTAACTAGCTGGGCTGTATGTTGATCCAGCTCAGCTAGCTGGCTAGCTAGTTAGCTAGCTAGCTAGTTAGCTAGTTAGTTAGCTAGACAGCTAGCTAGTTAGTTAGCTAGACAGTTAGCTAGACAGCTAGCTAGTTAGCTAGCTAGACAGTTAGCTAGGTAGTTAGCTAGCTAGGCTTATGCACGACTGGCTAGGGCAGCTAGCTAGCTAGCTAGCTGGCCTGCATGTACGAGTGGATGTGGGCCCTTTACTGTGCTGCTGCTGCTCTGTGCTGCTGCTGCTCTGTGCTGCTGCAGCTTTGTGCTGCAGCAGCAGCAGCTGTGCCGCGCCCAAGCTGAGCCAGCAGCCACGAGGAGACACACCTAAAGAAGTTTAAACTTCATACAGCAGCAATTTGTTATTATAACAAACAAAACACAAACCCTACAACATTAGCAACATTATGCGGGCTGCTGCTGCGGAGATACAAGAGAGACGATGCAACGCATGCAATCCCCATCCCTATCAGACACACCAGCAGCAGCAGCAGCAGCTGCTGCTGGTGCTGGTGCTGTTGCTGCTGCGCTTCACAGCTTGAAGTACCGGACTCCTGGGCGGACGTCGAAGGGACTGATGCGGGCCTGTGCTGCCTGAGACTTCTTTGTCTCCTCCTGCAGCAGCAGCAAAAGGAGACACAAAGCATGTGCATCAGCAACGCAGCAACCCCCAAAAGTGCTGCGCCATTCACCGTATTTCAGCAGATTGCTGCGGCTGCAGGAAGAGCAGCAGGAGCAGCAAACGCAGCAGCACCAGAAGCAGCAGAGGCAGCAAGAAGTGCAGCAGCAGCAGCAGTAAGTGCAGCAGAAGCAGCAGGAAGTGCAGCAGCAGCAGCAGTAAGTGCTGCAGCAGCAGCCAAACCAGCAGCAGCAGCAGCAGCAGCAGCACCTTAAGGAGTTGTTTGTTAGCTTTCTTGTTGGCTCTTAGAATTCGCTGCGCTTCCTTCACCGCAGCTTTGCGCGCCTTTCGCTGCTCAGGTGTCTCCCCGCGAGGTCTGTAGGTAGAGACCTGAGGAGACAGTTGACAAACAAAGGAGACAAAGAGATAGGCGAAGAGGAGACAGTAAAGATATGAACAGAAGAAGAGACACGACAAAAGAGAGTAAAAGAGCACAAAGGAGACACACACCGAAGGAGACAGCCCCAAACGAACAACAAACATGCAGCAGCAAAACTGTCTCCTCTCACCTCTGGCAGTTCAACTGCTGTCTCCTCAGCGTCTCCGCTCGGAGGCAGTTGCGCCCGTCGTCCCTCCAAAGGGCCCTTAGCCCCTAAAGGAGCTCCAGCATGTGTTCTGCTCAGGAGACAGATAAACGCAAAAGAATAAACTGTCTCTTTCTCCTAAAGGAGACAGATAAATGCAAGATAATAAACTGTCTCTTCTTGGTGAAGGAGACAGATAAACGCAAAAGAATAAACTATCTCTACGTGGTGAAGGAGACAGATAAAATGCAGAAGAAATTAACAAACTGTCTCCATATCGTGAAGGAGACAGAAAGAATGCAGCACAAAGGAAGTGTCTCCTCCTTAAAAAAGAGACAGAAACAAATAACACAGACGAAGCGTCTCCTCGCTTCTTCTGCCCACTGTGCTGCAGCAGCAGCAACAGCAGCAACAAAAGCAGCAGCAGCAGCTGCCGCAGCAGCAACACTAGCAATAGAAGGAGAGTAAGCAAGCTTATTAATTAATTAATGTGTCTCCTCTTACGCTAAGAAAGGAGTCAGAGACATTTTGCTAGCTCGAGAAGACCCAATAAGAATTGCACGGGGCTGTACAGACACCCCAGACCTCGCACTCATAATGGTTTCGCCATCCCTATACACACAAACATAAACCCTAAACCCTAAACCCTAAACCCTAAACCCTAAACCCTAACTTGTCCGTGACAATCTCCGCCAAGCCATAAACCACAACGGCGACAAACCCCAACCCCTACAAACACATTCTAAGCAATATGCCTTCCAGACAAACCCTCAACCCTAAACCCTAAACCCTAAACCCTCGGAACAAACCCTACAGGCTAAACGCCAACCCTAAACCCTCAACTAACCAAGTGGGGCGAGCGCGAGCAGGCAGCATCGGGGCTGCATGCACTGTTGCTTCGTTTTCTTCTTCTTCTTCTTGCATTCTTGCTAACGCGAGGGTTTTGTTGCGAAGGTCTTCATCTGCAGGAACAGCCACAACCTCAAAGCTTTAAACCCTAAACCCTAAACCCTAGAGGCGACAGTCTCCATAATCAAGAGAGAGACACTTAAGAGACAGTCTCGAGAATTAAGAGACAGCATTCATACTAAGGAGACAGCCCCTATAGCAAGGAGACAGTCTAGCCACTGAGGAGACAGCCAGTCTTTAAGATAAAGAGACAGTCTCCTCTTGGGCTGTATGTCTCCTCCCCATGGGCAATAGAGACGCACCCATTTCACAGAGACGAAACCCTTCATCTTTTCGTCTCAAGTTGCTGCTCCTGCTGCTGCTGCTGCTCGTGCTGCTGCCGCTGCTGCTGTCGCTGCAGCAGCTCCCTCGCCTCCCCCGAGAGGAGACACCCTCCAGACCCGGGGTCCCTGCAAAGAACAAGGAGACACGTTTGAGGCGCGCTCTTCAGGCCTGCCCCTTAGGGTTTAGGGTTTAGGGTTTAGGGTTTAGGGTTTGGACACCCACGCTCTTGAGACTTTAAAAAATCATCAAAGCACTCCTCATATGCAGAGAATGAATCGCTCTCTTCAGCCTCCTCAGGATCCAGCTGCAACACCACGTACACCCCAAACCCTAAACCCTAAACCCTAAACCCTAAACCCTAAACCCTAAACCCTCAGCTAGAGCCTGTCTCCGGCAAGATCCTTCCCTCTGTATGCTCAGCCCCTTAGAAAAACTATCGCGGGGGTTTTCACCATGTGTTTATTTATTTATTTATTTATTTATTTATTTATTTATTTATTTATTTGTTTGTTTGTTTGTTTATTTGTTTATTATAGAGAGATGAAAAGGAGACACAAGGACCCACCTCGCCAATGCATTCTTCTCTATACTCTTCTAGCAGCTGCTCCAGCCGCTGTCTGCAGGATTAACGCATGCAGACACCCTACCCTAAACCCTAAACCCTAAATCCTAAACCCTCCTAAACCCTATACCCTCCTGATCCCTAGACTCTCCTCGACGCTAAACCCTAAACCCTAGACTTTATAAACCCAAAACCCTAAACCCTCCTACACCCTAAAACCCTAAACCCTCTTAAACCCTAAGCCCTTCCACATCTTAAATCCTCCCAAACCCTAAACCCTCCTAAACCCTAAAACCCTCCTAAACCCTAAACCCTAGACCCTGGCCCATGAAGACTAGGCTTCGCTTTGTCTCTACGCACGATAAAGCGCTGTTGTTCGGGTGTCTCTCCCGCTGTGGGGTGTCTCCTCTTCTGTCTTCTGTCTCCTCGGAGCCCCAATCGCTGCTGTCTCCTTCTTCTATCTCTGCACTGTCTCCTTCTTCTAACTCTGCACTGTCCCCTTCTTCTATATGTTTAAACAGAAGGTCTCCAATGGCTGGCGGCAGCAGAGGGGGCCTCGAACCCCACAACAACTCCTTCTCATCCGGGGCCTGAGGCATCAACAGCTACACTCCACATCCCCAGCTAGCTACGCAGCTAGCTATGCAGCTAGCTATGCAACTAGCTATGCAGCTAGCTATGCAGCTAGCTATGCAACTAGCTATGCAGCTTGCTATGCAGCTAGCCAGTCTAGACAGCTAGCTAGGCAGCTAGTCTAGACAGCTCACTATACGACAAGCTGCAGAGCTAGCCAATCTAGGCAGTGAGTTCGAAAGCTAGCTAGCCAGCCAGCTAGCTGTACTCTAATCCACAAACACTCGTAAACCCTAAACCCTAAACCCTAAACCCTAGACGCACCCATTGTTTGCCGTCTGCATCTGTTAAGGCGGAGGCAACGAAGTCGTCAGCAATATCCTCATAGGCTTCAGAGGCCTCCATAGCAGCCAGCACTTGGCTTGCTGCAAACGGAGACAGTAGGAGACACAAGCAGCACTGCACAAGGTTGCTCCTGCTGCTGCTGCTGCTGTTCTTGCTGCTGCAGCTGATGCTACTGGTTTTTACTGCTGCTGCTTTAGTTGCTGTTGCGCAGTTGCTTATAGACGAGGCAACGTGAAAGACTTCAGGATACGGGCCTAGGGTTTAGGGTTTAGGGTTTAGGGTTTGAGGTACCTTCTTTGTCTCTTCTCATCATTGTCTCTGCTTCTTTCTCCTCGCGCTCAATTGTCTCCTTGCCGCCTTCGTGTGCCAGGAAGGCCCCTCCACCCAAACTCTTAGAGACAGAGACAGAGACACAGAGACAGCAGCAACAGCAGCAAAGACAGATGTAACAGCAGCAGCAACAGCAGAGGCAGATGTAGCAGCAGCAAAGACAGAGACAGAGGCAGCAACAGTAGAGACAGAGACAGCAACATCATCGACAGAGACAGCAGAAGCAGCAGAAACAGAGACAGCAGCAGCAGCAGCAGCTGCAGAGGCAGACACAGCAGCAAAAGAGACAGAGAGATAGACAGCAGCAGCAGTAGAGACAGAGACAGCAGCAGCAAAGACAAAAGGAGACAGTCTGTCTGCTTACAACCAAATGCTGCGAGTAGTCATAGCCGTCTTGAGGGAAGTAACAGTCGCCGCTCTGAAGAAAGAAAAGGAGACAGACACCGCACAAGGAGACACATACACCTCAAACATAATAAGAGACAATCAAGCAAACAAACAAACAAACAAGCAAGCAAACAAACAAACAAACAAACGAACAAGCAAACAATACAAAGAAGCAGAAAGGAGGGAGACAAACGAGACAAAGGAGACAGCACGAAAAAGCAGCAAGAAAGGAGACAAAAGAGACAAAGGAGACAGCACAAAGAAGCAGCAAGAAAGGAGA